ATCTCAACCATGGGAGCGCAATCTTTCACCCTTAAATTGATCCAAATTCTCTTGTAAATTTGGCAGTGTGTGCAGCTCCAGACTAAATATTGTCAGATGATATTGGCTCTGATCAGCTGAAATACACCCCTCCTCGCCACAGCCCCACCACTCTGGCCCTGCTGACTCCCCACATGGCCCCACCGGCACCACGTTGCGTCCTGGTCTGCGGGCAAAGGTCACGCTGCAAAGCTAGAAAGCTGGGGATGGTGGGAAGAACCGTCACAGGGGAAGGAGCACGCAGCCTTGTGACTGGTAAAAGGTAAAAAGAAAACTACCGAGACCTTACAGCTATGTAAAACCCCACCACACGCTGCCATGGGGCTGGGGCTGGAAAGGAAAACCATGACTGCCTGCCTTGCGGGGCAGGGGCTGGGAGGTGCCAGGCACCTGCTGTGCCCCTGGCCCAGGGCTGAGGAGCCCCGGTCCCCGCTCTGGCACTGGACTGCGTAGCACGCGAGCTGCCTGGGTCCCTGCGAGCTAAAAACTGCTGCCGCTGCTGTGTCTGGCCAAGGACTGCCACAGCTGGGCTCCCAGCAGCTCCGGTGTGCTGCGTCCCCTTCCCCTGGGGCAAGGAGACACGTAGCCCATTGCAGGCAAATGCCAGGAAAATGAGGAGAGGATTTTTGACTCTTGGAGATAAAAGCCTTGTGCTGAAACGTGTGTCAAAACCCCTGCTTTGCCTATGCCATGGCGCAGGGCGAGTGCTGTGTATTGGCAGAGTAAACCTGCTCACATCTGTTTGCAGGGAAGCTGTGAGTGTCTCAAAAACATGGCACGTCATACACTCACCATTGTAGGACAAGCAAAAATGCTTTGGAGTACACCATTTTGTGACTGAAGGCACCTATCTGTGAAAGTTTCAGAATGGAAATCAGTCCTTGTGGGGAGACAGTGGTCGACTGGTTATTGTCAAATCGGAGAAGGAGTGCGAAAGATGGTCCTTCAACCCCACCCACACAGGTAGCTGTGTCAGTAGCCAAAGCCACTTTACCCGTGGAGAGTGGAGGAAAAAAAAAGAGCCCAGAAAGGTGAGGTGCAAGTGCACTTTGTGTGTGGATGCAGTCTGATGGTACAACAAAGCTGACGTTAACAGCAAGGACCCGGGGAAGAGCTGGTCCCGTCCGTTCCTGCCACCTTCCTGGCACTGGCCTGCCTGTGCCCAGGCGAGGCTGGGTGCTGGGGCACCGGGCTGGCAGCACTCCCCATTCCCCACTGTGGGATGAGGCGGTTTCCAATGGTTTTGCTCCAGAGACAGCTGCCTTCGGTGGCAGGCAAGGAGCAGCCTTGGTACAGAGTGGGTGGTGCTGGCAAACTCCCCATCGGCCAGGCTGCACGTCGACCTGCGCCGCTGCCACCCTGCCGCGGCACCCGCATGGATTTCAAGGCGGTTGAGTGCTTAAAAGTCTTTGAAGATCTGAGCCTACAAGTGCTGATTCACCCGTGCTGCTGACTCAGGCTGTGCCTATTTAAAGGCTGCCGACCCTCGGCACTTCTCCGTCCCCTCAGCTCCAAGTCCAGTGGTGGGTCGGTGGCACGGGCAGGGTATTTGCTTTGGTCCCTGCGGCTCACAGCAAGGTACCACCGTCGGTTTCAGAGCACATTAATATCTTGGGTAACGACCAGCAGCAGCCAAGGGCGGTTAGCTTGTCTGAGCTTGCAGTATCACCAAGGGGCAGTTCCTCCATCCTTCCCTGCCTTCCACCTTCCTGCATGTTTCCTACAGCTCATGTGTTACCCCCACAAGAAAAAAATGCTCTGTTTGCAGCCGGACGGGGGGCTGGCTGGCTGCACGGGCCCCGCTTTGCGCCTGGGGAAGGCAGCGAGAGCAGCCGAGGGGGAGCTGGATTTGGGCATCTTTCTGGCATTATTCCCCCCCAGCCCTGTTTTCACGGCGGCCCAGCTACGATAGCCAGTGTTTTCTCACACAGCCTCGGCCCTGCTCTCCTCTCCCATCACAAGCTGCACTGACCGGGCACCTCTCCATCTCCAGTCTCACAGCACCAGCCAGCCAATAAGTCTGATCAAATTGCGTATCTGCAGGGAAACAGGTTATCAGGAAGCTTCTCAGCTAGTACAAAACCAAAGCCAGCAGACCCACAGCTGCTCGTGCCACGCCAAAGCCAGCCTTTGCCTCCAAACAGAGGGACTGTGAGCTTTTCTGCAAAGTGCAGCTGCAGCTTGCTCTTTCCACTCATCAACTGCCCAGGTTGTGCTGAAACTACAGACCTCCCTAGAGCCATGAAAATTAAAATGCTAAAGAAATGGGGACAGGTACTAGGCCACCCTGCTGAAGGATGTGGTACTGGCCACCAGGCTGGTAGCCCTGAGCTGGCCCCAGCTTCAGGGTTGAGTTCCCACCTCCCCACAGCTGCATGGGTGCCAGCTAGGCACGATGTCCCCAGCTGCTCCCCATCCTACCCCATCCCATCCCATCCTGTCTCATCCCATCCCATCCCATCCCATCTCATCCCGTCCCATCCCATCCCCCCTTAGCTTGTAGAATCATAGAATCATTAAGGTTGGAAAAGACCTCTAAGATCAAGTCCAACCATCCACCCAACACCACCACGCCTGCTAAATTAAACCTTACTCGTGCAGGTGATTTCCATCCAATTTCCATCAGAAGAGGCCAAGTGTATTTGAGCTGCAGAGCTGGCAGCCTTGGGAAGCGGAGGGAGAAGTGACTTTGCAGTCTTGGGGGAGAGCTGATGCTCCTTCCTTGCTTTGCTTTAGCAGCCTGCTTCCCTGGGAGGCGAAGCAGCAGGTCTTGTTTGGCTTAGACCTCCTGAAGCATTTCTCTTGTGTCGATTAAGAGTGAGAGTGTGTTTGAGGACGTGACCTTTCTTTTCTGGTGCATCTGTGGGGTGCGCATTATGCCTGTGAGGCACTTGGACTGTGGGTGGCAGAGGTGTGGACTCTCTCTGGGGCTATACATGTGAGATACCTGCCGGGCTGTATTCCACAGCTGAAGCTTGCTAGTCAGGAAAGTGTTTTCTCCATTAAACATTTTTCCTTTGTTTCTATTTCCTTTGGGGGAGGTGTGTTCTTTTTTTTCTGGCTGCCACAAAATTAGACTTGTCTGAGATATCTCAGTAATCTGTTATCTCTAGCTGCTTTCAACAGAGACCAAATCACTTTCAATCCTCAACAGGTTACAAAGGCAAGACTTAGTTGTCTTTGTGCAACATGCTTTGCACTGCGCCTCTGCTTCCTTTCCATTCCTGGTGTGACCTTGACTTTGAAAACCCCTCCTTAACACAGGCTGGTATGTGCTTGTTCCGCCTTGCAAGAGCTCCCTCTGCAATATTTCATTCTCTGGTCCCTGTACCTTGTTTTTGAAGAATCTTTTGCTTTCAAAATAGGTGAAGGTACTGCCAGGCTGAACAGATTTACTTCTAGATAAATTTTTGGATGAATATTGACAGACTGACAACCTTGCTGCACTGTGAGGAAGTTTCTTTCGAGTAGAAAAAAAAATTATGCTTTTTCTTGACAAATGATTGTTGCTATTTTTTTGTTGATTGTTTTAACTATCACTGTGCCCATAGGTACTCAGCATCAGTAAAATCTGTACTGCCTGTGTCGATCCTAAATGATGCCAGTGAGGGCTCTTGCATCTCAGTGAAAACATCCTGAACTGCTGTTTTGCCTCAAAGCTGTGTGGTTGACTGCCTTTAAACTGACAGACAGGTCGGCTCATTGCAAAATCATCACGATTTTTAACTAGAACACAAGCCATCACTCAGGTTTACGTCCTTGTGACAAGTCATTTTGCAATGAGCACTTGAACAAGAATCAGGTGGGGAGGTTGTGGTTGTTGTTGTTGAGATGTTTCTTTAATGAACTTTTAACTCTTACGAAGGCAATTAAAACAGCCACTGGCTGCGTAGCTATTGCAGGTATGTGGGCAGTGCGTGAGTCCCTGGGCCTTTCTCAGTCTGCCATCAGAGCTGGGGCAGCTGCAGCCTTAGCTTCAGCCACTCCCTTGCAGCTGCCCAGGCCTTGCTGGTTTGGGCATGACTTTATCCAACACAGTTTTTACGGAGGTTGGTAAGCGGGAATCTCCTAATGTCTTCTTTCAGCTTTTCTCTGTGGAACAGAGCTCAGGGTGGATTTCTTCTGACCCTCGGAGTATGTGTGTTGGTGACAGCTGTAATCAACACAGAGGCGCTTACACTGTTAATGAACAAAAACAGCTGCTGGAAAAAAAGAAAGATCGGTTATTTTGTTCCTAGAAAATCACATATAGCTTTATAAAGTGATGCTGCATCTTAGTCCTGCCAGGACTTCATTTAAGCCTGTATGGGACCCATACCTTCAGTCACAAGGCTCTAAAGGCATCAGTGCTTACCACGTTTGGCTTGGGTTGATGGTCACTCCAAGCAGTGTCTGTGTGAACAGATGTCCTTCTGCAAGGTTTGGAAGTTTCCTCTTTAACTTTTTAGCACTACAACTCCCTTAAGGTTTGTTCGGGGCTTTCAGAAGTAACTGACAGCTCATTAACAGCTTTCATTAACACTGAAAACAGTTGGAGGGAAGCTGCACAGGTCATCTGGAGCTCTCGGCTTTGCTGGGCAAAAGGTGCTTGTTGCCAGGTATTAGCTCGTGTACTGCAACACAAGGTGCCGTCCTAGGTGTTTTCATTTCACAGAGAAAGATGTGTTATAATCTCTTCTATAGATAAGATGGTGACGTATCAGATCATTTCAATTACACCGTGCTGGCAGGCTGAGAGTGAGAGGAGGGGAGAAGCCTTGCTCCTCTTCACCTCCAAAGGGACAGCCCTCTGCCTTTTTTCGTATCACAAATGCAAGCTGATAGCAAGCACTTCAAATCAAAGTCACAATTTGGCCAGCTTATCAAAACAGCTATAAAACTTAAAAGAAAATAAGCATGTGTGGGCTGATTGATGTATTATGTGATGGGCACTAAAAGGGCCCTGCTTGTGCCATTTGCAGGCATGGCGGAAGCGCTGGTTCGTGCTGCGCAGAGGCCGCATGAGTGGGAACCCAGATGTGCTGGAATACTACAGGAACAACCACTCCAAAAAGCCCATCCGGATCATCGACCTCAACGAGTGCGAAGTTCTGAAGCACTCAGGGCCCAGCTTCATCAAGAAGGAATTTCAGAACAACTTCGTCTTCATTGTGAGAACCACCTACCGCACCTTCTACCTGGTAGCCAAAACTGAGGAGGAGATGCAGATCTGGGTGCACAACATCAGCCAGATCTGTAACTTTGGACATCTAGAAGATGGCACAGGTAGGATCACACTCGTGCTCGTCTTGGGGATTGGGAGGGTGATCTGTGTCTGGGCTCCTCCACAGCAGCCCCCGGGGTGAGAGGAACCATGGACCTTGCTGGCTGGTTGGGCTGGGCAGGTGGTGTGGGAACTAGAGATAATAGCTGGCCGCGTGGCCTCACTTCGATGAAGCAATTCCTGCTAGAATAAACAGCAAATCCTTAACACGAAAAGGTACTGTTTATGTGAAAAGCTGACTGACTGTTGTCTTCTGGGGCCGTTTATTTCATTACATGTCCCATATTTATTTAGTTTGGCTTAATGTAAGACACCTGTTCCAGGAAAGTGACTGCAAAACTCGTGTTTTCTCAGGCTTTGCTGGATGTGGAATGTGCGCAGACTTGGGTGTATATGCACATACATAAATCAATGACAAAAATACTGAGCTGTCTTAGTCTATTAATGAGAAGAAAAATAAAGAAAAAGCAGAGGACGGGAGAGTGTTAGAATTGTGTGTCTAGACTTAAGAGATGGTCCTGCCAGTGAAGCATAAAGTCAGCCTGTTTTGCCAGGACCTACACCTGCATATACTCAGTAGGGTGAATTTCTTGGAAAGCTTCCGAGAATTAACCACTCCAAAATGGATGTAGCCAGTAATTACAGTCAGGACCTGTGTCATCATTAACTTACCTTTCAAATGAGACAATTGGACTCAGCAGTCTGTCTTTCCCTTGACATTTCCAAGGGGCAGACACAGCAGCAATTTGAGAGCTTCATCAGAAGTGAGTCAGAACGAAGTCCTTCGCGGCGATAAAAGGCAGTGCAAGAGCAGAAAGGGGTGGTGATGGAGTGACTCGATCCCAAGGACTTTAATATGTTTAGGGGTATCATAGTGTGTCCAGGCAGATTATCCAGATCCCAGATGGTCCCTGTGCTGCAGCGCTCAGACTGCTGCTGGTGTCTGCAAGTGCCACCTAGCCATACCGTTTCCTCGTAACTTGAAAGGTGACAAAAGGCCATGATGAGATGGTTAATTTTAATCTATCCTGGTTCCTGGCCTGCTTTAATCTTCTCTTCAGTAGTTTATTCTGAGGCGAAACGGGAGTGGAAGGAGCACTGCAGTGGTCCTGTTATAAATGTGGTGCCTGCTCTTTTCCCATTGGCTTTAGAGACCACCAGGAAAACGTGCTGGCATGTTTTTACGTGCTGTCACAAACTGCCCATGAATGCAACTTGCAATATAGAGCTGGTAGCTTTGAGGGATTGGAGTCAATATCCCTTTGGAGCTTGGATGTAATTAGGGATATTCGGTAACCCCCTTCCGACTGATCTGCCCTTGTTGACTTTGAGACGTTGCTCTTGTGTTGCCACTTCTGGTGCAGTATTAGTTTAGAAAAATTTTACCGATTACTCTGAAATGAAAATAAATAAATAAGTCTTTCCATGCAAAACAGAAAAAAGAAAAATATTTTTTGTCTTTCAAATGTGTATGCAGACTTCTGCTGGCACTGTGCTGAGGATGAGCACAGGGAGATGCGATCTGTGGCAGAGGAGCTAAGGCAGCGGCTGTCGCTAGGATGGAGGCATTTATACTGGGAAATGTCTGTTCCGTTGTGCTGGTACAGCGCAGCATTGCTCGCAACACTTAAACATGGGCAATACTCGGAGTATGACACAGTGGTATTTCTCTCCCAGCAACGACGACTGCTGCTGTAGACACTGATGGATGAGAAGTGACAGCTCTTGCTGCGGCAGTTGGGAAAGCTGACATCCCAACTCTCAACTCCGTTCAAGGCAGGTCTTATCCCCCAAGAAGTGCAACAGCGCAGAGCATTTGCCATGGTTCAGTGTAAAGTCTGGACCTGAACTTACCACCCTCCTCACAGACCATGTAAGCTAGCCATGAGCCAGCAGTGTGACCTGGCTGCCAAGAAAGCTAATGGGATCCTGGGATGCATTAGGAGGAGTGTGGCTAGCAGGTCGAGGGAGGTTCTCCTTCTCCTCTGCTCTGCCCTAGTGAGGCCCCATCTGCAGTGCTGTGTCCAGTTCTGGGCTCCCCAGTTCAAGAAAGATGAGGAGCTACTGGAGAGAGTCCAG